AGTAGGGCTGCACAACATGTTACCTTGTGCGGTAAACACATTCTGCTGCAGATTATATTTTGAGTTAATTGAAAACAGGAGAAACCTGCAATTTAAAATCCTCTTTCTGCTTTTTATTGGTGCCTCTTGTGTTCAGGTCATTTTTTTAAATAACAAACGAGGAATCATTTCATTCAGAAAGCAATTTTATTTGAGCAGTTCGCTGAAAGCAGCACAAGAAGCCGAACTGATTACAGTTAAATCTGTTTTATTTGTAATGTTATTGGATATTCTCCTCATGTTGCAGCCCTTCCTAGAAGATGAATCAGTGTTTACAGCTTTAACAGAACTGATAACACTGAACTAAACGCTGGATTTGTCTCTGATGTAACCCGGGGAGCTGGTGATAAATATTCATGTTAACAAGGAGGGGGGGGGTTATCGTCAGCCTGCAGGGGGGGGCTTTATTTAAAAATAGAAGTTTTGCTGAGCAGACGCATGAGGTTTCTGAGGTTTAGTTCACTTTGTAACACCTGAGTCGTTCCCCATAGGAAATGAAAGGAGACGATGATCTTCCATCAGAGAGCACAGAACCACCAAATAAACACATTTTCAACTTTTTCTCATATTTTGACAATTTTCCCAGAATTCAAAGTTCTGACATACGTTTGTCTCATTTTACTTTTTTTTCTGACATTTTGACTTGTTTTTCCCGTTTTGGCTTTTTTTCTGTCAGAATTTGAATTGATGAAATTTTTCCCCCCCAGAATTTGACTTTCTCTCATGTTTTGACCATTTTGACAGAATTCGAATTTATGAAATATTTCTCTGATTTCTTTTCCCTCAGAATTCAAATTTCAGATTTTTTTCTCATATTTTGATTTTTTTTCTCATATTTTGACATAATAATTCGAATTTCTGACATTTTCCTCAGATTTCAGAATTTTGTTCTTAGATTTCGACTTTTTTCCCTCAGAATTCGAATATCTGGCGCTTTATTTAAAAATAGAAGTTTTGCTGAGCAGACGCGTGAATGTGATGGAGCTGTTTCTGTGTCTCAGGTTCTCAGGATGCAGCGCACGACGAGGAAACCCTGCAGAGGCTTAAGGTCAGTGAGCGAGGTCAAAACACCGGCGTGTTGGAAACGAGATGGCGCTTCCTCTGGGTTTATTACTCTTTCAAACTATATTATCCAACTCAGTTTAAGAATCAAAACCCACGCGTTAGTTGGGAAGGGATCGTGTGAAGAGTAGACAGAAGCTGCTAAGTGAATTTCAACCATCTGTCTCCCCCTTTCCCTCCCTCTTATCCCTCCATCTTTCTCCCTCGTCCCTCCTCTTCCTCTCTGCCCTCCAAGGCTGTGTTGCATCATCAATTTAATTGAAGACAGAACATCCATCTCTATCTCTCCTGCAAAAACATAGTCGTTTTCAAACGAAGTCAGTCAGTTTTCCTTGGAGCTACGACCTCATCGTTAGAGCTAGCAACTTATCCTTCATAATTTAAAGTCACATTTAAGAACTGAGTATTCTGTCCAGAATTAGATTTTTTTCCAATATATTCTTTCGGAAGAGTTTGTAAAAGTTTGCTTAAATACAGGAAAATGCTAATTTAAAAAAATGGCAGACTTTAGGGTGGACGGCGCTAATGAAAACCATTTTGAAATATGCTCAGCAGTGTGTTTTTGTGGATATTGAAGCAGTTGAAGCAAATACTTCAGCATCATTTGACATGTTGATCGTCAAAATATGCTGAAAAACAGGGAAAAGAAATCGCAAATTATTCAAAATGACCGACTTCCAGTTGGACGGTGCCTAGCTACATTTAAGCTATTGAATATTCCATCCCAATTTATCTTTACATTTGACATGAGCTAATACCCTCCTGAAATTGACATGTTCCGATATACTCTGTAAGAGGAGTTCGTAAAAGTTAGCTAAAAATACAGGCAAAACACATATTATTCAAAATGGCCGACTTTCGAGAAGGCGGGGCTAATGAAAGCCGATTTTAAAATATTTTCAGAACATCAAGAGCAATGTGTGTACACAATGTTGTGAGTATTGGAGCATATCGGAATGAAGGGTTTTAAAAGTGTGAACGTTATCTAACGGTACTTGAAAAATGCTCAACATTCAAGATGGCCGACTTCAGAAGAGGCGGGGCTAATGAAAGCCAATTGCAAATGTGTTTGAAATAACAAGAGCAATGTGCGTACCAAATGTCGTGAATATCAGAGCATATTGGAAGGAGTGGTTGTGAAAATGCGAAAGTTAGCTAACGGTACAGGCAAAAAGCACAATATTCAAAATGGCTGATTTAGAGAAGGCGGGGCTAATGAAAGCCAATTTGAAATGTGTTTGTAAAAGCAAGAGCAATGGGCGTACCAAATGAACATCAGAGGGGGGCGATAGAGAGCACACTTTCAATTGTTAATTTCAATCCATTTCACTGCAGATTTCTCAGTTTAGTTTTGGGAGTTTTGGAGTAGCTTTACAGAAAGAGTCACTTCTATGTCGTTGTGTTGTCCTCAGTGTCGTCTCTTCTTCCTGTCAGGTGACTCACGTTCTGAACGTGGCCTACGGAGTCTCTAACCTGCTCCCAGATCAGCTGGTTTATAAAACGCTGCAGATCCTCGACATCCCCGACACCGACATCACCTCGTACCTGGAGGAGTGCAGCGGCTTCATCGAGCTAGCACGACAACAGGTGAACACTTCATGTGGAATACACCTTTATAAGTAGGGTGTCAGATTGTATTGATAGATAGATAAATAGATAGATAGATAGATAGACAGATAGATACTGTAGATAGAGAGATAGATATAGATGCTGTATGAGAAACCAATGTGATTTTGGAACAATGTAAATCTATTCTAGTAAACCTAAACAATGGGATTATAATCAGTAGAAATGGCCATGACCTTTACATACGCTGTATTTAATATATTTGCAGACTAATTTAACCCGTCAGTTTGCACACACAGCTGTTTGCAGTTTCCTTTGACTCAGCACAAAGTTGTGTGTGTGTGTGTGTGTGTGTGTGTGTGTGTGTGTGTGTGTGTGTGTGTGTGTGTGTGTGTGTGTGTGTGTGTGTGTGTGTGTGTGTGTGTGTGTGTGTGTGTGTGTGTGTGTGTGTGTGTGTGTGTGTGTGATCTGAGTGTGATCTGAGCGGTATGTTATTCTGCTCACTGTGGTGATGCTGCAGCTGCAGCATCCACTGAGTGAGGATGCAAGTATTCAGAATACGTGTATATGTTATATGTACACACATGTGTCACTGTGTCTCTGCTGCTCGTGCACACACTCATGCACAATAATGACATAATGAACAGAGATCAGGTCCTGTCTTCCCACAGCTGAGGATCCTCTCTGATCTAGACCTTCAGACCCGGTGCAGGATCACCTGTCCGGGTCCACCTACTCTGTCTTCAGGTGACCTACATATTAAAGCCGCGTGAGTCACACTCGTGCATCCTCTATGTGATGGGGGGGAACTCACCTCTACAAAATAGAAGCAGGGCAGCAGGCTGACGCTGTCCTTGGTGTGGCCCCCCTTCTCTCTTCCAGACATGGTGGGGCCTCGATGAGTCCGGATCCGAGACGTGAGGAGACGCTCAGCAGCGCGCCATGGAGGAGCTATCCGGCCCGGAGACCCGCAGATAGACCCGCAAACAGACCCGCAGATAGAACCCGCAAACAGACCCTCACAGACCCGCTGCAGACCCGCAGATAGAACCCGCAAACAGACCCGCTGCAGACCCGCAGATAGACTCCGCAAACAGACCCTCACAGACCCGCAGATTGACCCCGCTGCAGACCCGCACAGGCCCGCAAACAACCGCACTCAGAGACCCTCACAGACACCCTCACAGAGACCCCGGCCCTGGTGTTATCTCCGCTCGTGAGGCTCGGTCCAGTCTAGAGGAGCTGTCAGATGGAGGCTCACCGAGGAGGGGGGAGGAGGAGCGCATGCGCACTGCGGATGAAGACGACGGCATAAGGACGTTAGTGCTAAGTGTGGAGGAGCTCGAATCGATCATACACACAGACCAGAAAACATCTAATGTTGTTATCTATTACATACTTCTCGTGCAGATTCAATGCTCACATTATCACTTGCCCCTGTCACGAGCCCTCATCTGTGTTCACTGCCATCAGCTGATGTGCAGCACGAGCAGGACCACAGGGAGGCGCACTTACACACATTTATATCACTCACACACACTAATATTCTATATATCACTTACAAACATTTACATTATATATATCAATTACACTACACACTAATATGCTATCACTTACACACACTAATATATACATATCACTCAAACACTTATACTTTATATATTTATATTCTATATCTCCATATAAATACTGAGTACTTGAGTAAATGTACTTAGTTCCCACCTCTGCTTATACTTTATATATGTATATTCTTTATATCACTTGTATATATATATAGACCTTGATAAGTTCTACAGTCTTATAGCACAAAGGATCCAAAATATTGTGCAGATGTTCCTTCAGTGGTAATGACACATCATGGAGGACTGACGTGTTGATATGTGTTCATTTAAGTTGATGCTACTCCTCAGATGTGATGTTAGACAGTATCTCATCTCATCCCCACAGCTCTGTTTACACTGAGTCTGGAATCAGTCTATGGGAGGGCTGCAACCCAATGCATTCTGGGCCATCCCTTACATCATGATATACAAATCTACACACACTAGTTCACTCGTCAGCATGTGCTGCACAGTCAGTGTGTGTGTGTGTGTGTGTGTGTGTGTGTGTGTGTGTGTGTGTGTTTACATATCTCTGTAACAGTGTTTCATAATCACACACACACACACACACACACACACACACACACACACACACACACACACACACACACACACACACACACACACACACACACACACACACAGTGTGTGTCAGGCTGTGAGCTCTGTGTCAGGTGACACCTCTGCCTCAGGTAACTGTACCTGCAGATCCTCACACACTGCTCTGCTCAC